AGGATACCTTGTTTGTTTTAAACATCATAAATACACCAACCAACAATGAATACTTACAGGCTGTGTACCCGAATCTCCCGCTGGTCCAAACAAAGTAGGAACAGCATCGTTCTTCAGTGCCCTAAGCTGTACATATCCGGCATGAATTGCTGAAAGGTTTGGGAAGCTTTGTTTTCGTGAAAGGCTGGCAGAGGGTGTGGCCTCTGGCTATTCACACGTCACAGTACCCAGGTATAAACAATGGAAAATGAGAAATGTCCAACGAGGGGTTCAGCATAGACAGGTCTTTTCTGTGTTATAGTTTTACTCGCTACAGGGTGTACTTTGAGGGTTTGTGACTCTGCAGACCGTTTACATGCAGAAAAACCTTCATAACACACAAGGGGACGGGGAATAACCGGAAAAGCATGACATGGGACCTTTAACTCTTTCTTCTTTTAATTTCTAGCACAATAGGGATAGGAAGTTGCCTCCTGCTGGTTAAAAACATAATAATGGCCCTGGAAAATAATCTTTAAAGAAAACGCATGTATGTGCATATTGGGGTAAGAGGACCCACCCCTGTATCTAGGCAACTGTGCACATTTGTTGTCATCATGTGACCATACATTCAGGAAGCACCCATCATTTATATGTGGCCGTGATGGAGAGAAGCACATGGTAAAGTGGTAAATGTGGTTTCTTTCACAATAACCCAGGTTTTGTCAGGTATAATAACTGTTATGTTGACAGAAGACATCCTGAAATAAAGGTTGTTGTTGTCATTTTACTAATTTGTCCTTGCCTAGAGGACAACATAAGTGAAAATTGTCTCATCTTACCCCCAAATTGAGACTCGTTAGAGACACTTTAATGCCAGGTGTGAACTGAGAGCGATCCAATTGTGATCAGATCATCTTCAACAGGGCCTAAGTGGGATTGTAAGTACACATATCACATGGAGGACGCAGTAAATGTGTTTTCAGCTTGTGTTCTCCTTCTAGTTTCTGCTGCTTGTAGAAAATGTGGAGTCTATTTTTATATAACATTAGAAAGACTGATTCTTATTACTACATTGTAAGCTTATTGTGCTCATTTATGTGGCTGTGACTTTGGAATAAATAGACCCAATCACCTCCCCCAAGTTTTGATGGGGAGGACAGGAACGAAGGGAAAAGTTACATGAGAAAGTGTTTAGCTTGCAATATTGAAAGTAGCAAGGTCGAGTGCAGAGACTGAGAGAATACAAAGAGGTAGTCAGAACAGCACATCGCACCGGCCATCACTTTGTATGGGAGCCGCGCTCCCCCGCAAAGCTAGGAAGCAACATTATGGTTTTCCGCTATATCTGAAGAAACGTTAGAGAAATCAAATTACGTATTTTAGAGACGGAGTAGGGAGGGACTTTGCCAGCCGGCCGAATGCTGATTGGAGGATCGTGTTGCCAAGAGACTCTATCTGAGTCTGCGCACCAACCAAAGAGAACCAAGTCCAAACTGCGGTATCTCTTCAGCTAGTCTTGACTAATCAGAAATGTACGGGCAACG